CAGGCAGGAAGACAGAAAGACAGGCAGAGGCAGGCAGGCAGGCAGGCAGGCAGGCAGACAGACGGGCAGGCAGGCAGACAAACAGACGGGCGGACAGGCAGGAGAGACAGAGACAGACAAATAGACAGAACGGACGGAGGCAGAAACACAGACACAGACACAGACTTGCACAGAGACAGAGGCACGGACAGGAATTGGCTGTGCAATTTGAAGATGGCATGTAAGTTGAGGTAACTGGCATGCCTTTAGTATTGGATAATTGAAGCCTACATGTCTTCCGAGAAACGAGGAAGTAGGCGCTAGGTAACAATGTGCTGCTGCTGTCGCTTCCTTGCTGGCATTTCACATTGTGCGATCTTCAAGCAAGTTAGCATAGCACGGTGTATATACCCCTGTACATACACCCGGCAAGAAAAGTTTCGACCTTGATGATGCCATTTCATTGCATTTACTATTGACTTAAGTTATTATTGATTAATTAAACAGTGTATGTAGTTGAGGACAAGATTGGAGGGGTGGCGAGATTTGGAGGATATGGCGAGATAGGTAGGTGCATCGGTACTCCATCAAGGGAGTGAGGGCACCTTGTGAGAGCAGTGTTCTCTGAGCAGAAACAGCACAAGCTTATTGCTTACGATCTCGTCGAGATTGTTGCTGATAGGGCAATGGAGATGTGGCATAGACATTGTAAATTCCATGTAGGGTGGACTGAGAGGTTGCGCTAGAGAATATACCATTCAATATATAGAGAGTTGATTCCCACAACCCACACACACACACAGACGCACACACACGGATTATTATATAATTATATACATCCCAAGGGCTCGGTGGATGTTCTCAGGTCTGCTGGGATTTTGCATGGAGTTTTTTGTATATATACGGGCTTTGTGCAGGGGGAATTATCTTCTCATACAACTTAGTCATTAAAGAGGTTCTCTTAGGAATCTATCTGAAATTTCAGCTCTGGAGATCACTATGTGTTTACTGTGACATGTCATGCCTCACATATGGTGATATATCATTTGTCTGAGACTCTTTAGTTATGGGCTATTTTGAAGCTATGTTCAGTTCTGAGCTAATTTGAAGCTATATTAGTTCTGAGTCTTCTGACTCTTCTGAGCTGTTTTTAGTTCTGGCTTTCTTTGAGGCTACCTTTAGTTCTGAGCTGATCTTAAACCACAAGTACACGGCCCCAGCCTTGCGGTCCGGAACTTGTCGCCACAAGAAAACGAACGAGGCCGTAACGTCAAATGCTGGGCCCGCCATTGATAAATTCAATCGGCGGTCTCATTTTCATTTCGCGCCTCCACAATTTGAGTTGCAGGCCCGCGGCCCAGGCCCCCATGTACTGTTGATTTAAGCTGTCCTTTGCACTCAGTCCTGAGCTAATCTGAAGCTCTCTTTGGTTATGATCTATTTTTGGTTGAGGATCTCAAAGCTACTTCTGAGCTATTTTTAGTTTCTGAACTATCTTTAGTTCTGACTCCTGAGCTATCTTTAGTCCTGACTCCTGAGTTACAGTTCCGAGCTATGTTTAGTCCTATCTCTAGCTGCCAGCCAATTTGATCCTATGTTCTGAGCTATCTCTAGTGCTTTTTTCTTTTTCTTTTTCTTTTTCTTTTTCTTTCCCTTTTTTTTTCAACACAACACGCTGTCTTATTTTAAGTTCGGTGATATCTCTAGGTCTGGTCTATCTGTTGTTCTGAGCTATCTTTAGTTCTACCTCTAGTTGTGACTCGTGAGCCATTGTGATACTATGTTCTCAGCTATCTTTAGCTCTCAGCTAATTTGAGGCTAGGCTATCTCTAGCTCTCAGCTCCTTTGAAGCTGAGCTATCTCTAGTTCTGAGCTAATTTCAATCTATCTTTAATTCTCAGCTATCCTCTCTTCGCTAATTTCAATCTACCCTTTTTTTTTTAGCTGCGAGGGAGCAGTACAGCAGTCATTCAGGTCCCAGGATGAGCGGTGATTACAACGAGTGAGCTTTGAATGGAAGCCCCAGTAAACGGCGGCAGAGTCCTGTTCCAGGTCTGGACTTGGTTGTTCAAACTTTGAAAGTGATCCTTGCTGTAGGTTGAGGGAGACAAAAGGGGACATGGAGATCCTATCCTGTATGATAGCTCATCAAGGATGGCAACCACAATGTGATTGGCTTTCTTTAATTATGATTGTGCACGTTATCACATGTCTCTTATACACATCTAGATGTGTATAAGAGACAGCTACGAGAGAGAGAGAGAGAGAGAGAGAGAGAGAG